GCAAACAACCTGAACAGCTGTTTTTCCAAAGACTTGCAAATGGACATCAGGTTATGAAAAGGTGCTCGTGTGGCCAGTCATCAGGGAAATCCAATCAAAATCACAATATGAGAACATCTCACACCTGCTATGGTAGGATGGCTGCTCTCAGAAGGGTTTAAGTGTGAGCCATTATGGGAAACTGTGGGGGTTTCTCAAAAAATTAGGGAGCTACCATGTGATCCAGCAGCCCCACATCCAAAGGAAATTAAAGCAGTATCTCTAAGAGACAGCTGCACTCCCACGTTCCCTGCAGCATTATTCACGACAGGCGAACTATGAAAACAACCCAAGTGTCTGTTGGTAGGCAAAGAAAAGAAATTTGGCATCTGTACAATGGCATTTGTGACTGCAGGTGAACCGGGGCCACCATGCTCAGCGAAATAAGAGAGACCTAGACAGATGAAAGTGCACAGCTTGCGTCCATGGGGAATCTGAAGCCATGCTGGGAGGTGCACCTGTACTTTCTGTTGTAGGCTGAGTGTGTGCTAGAGCTCGAGCAGGCAGCCTGGCGACTGTGGTCAGCAGTGCTGCACCATGCTCCTGAGATGTGCTCCTGCAGTGTGCCGAGAGTAGACTCCACACACACACAGGGAAGTGCGGGAGCTGGTGCATGTGTTTTGATCTTGAGTGTGGTAATCATGTCACAGTGTGTGCACGGATCATGATAGCATGCTGCACACCTTAACTATGTACAGTTTTTAATCACAAGAAAATCATAACCACATCCTCCCAGGGCAGTCGACTGCTGTTCCCCTTTGATGTTGCTCCTTTGTGGATAGTTTATCTTTTCAGTAATTGAGAGTGGGTTTTTTTCATGTGTTTTACAAACCTTTTTACATTTACATATTTGTGACTGTACTAGAGAAATAATTTTGCATTGCTTTTTTCAGTTACATCAATGCTGTAACTTTTGAAATGCACATCAGAGATGAGATGTACCCCATTCAAATGAAGAGAGCTGCAAGGTCCTGTCTTTCCCTTCCCCTTCAGCTCCCTTCCCCTGATCTCTCCAGAGTGAGGGATCCAGCCAGGACCTGGAACTGATGTCCATATTAACAGTATCAGTGTCCTGCGGTGCACACCTTGCTCCCCACAGTGTGAGTGACCTCCCCTCTTCCATCTCAGGTCATATGTACACGGACATCACATTTTAAAGTCACATGGAACTAGTGAGTCCTACTTAGCGTTATGGATGATGACCTTTGGGAAGGATTTGTGGCAGTTTCCACATCTTTGCCTTTTTTAACTGCTTCCCCTCTGTTAGCCAGGATGTGCTGAAAAAAATGCAAAGCAGACCTAGGAAAAGGGTCATTTGGTCAGAGTCAGATGCAGGAAAATAGGAATGATTTGGAGTGTCCCCCTCCCTGTGCCTCCTGGTCCCTCCACTCTGCCCAGTGTAAACAGTGGTTCCCTACATGGTGCCCTTCTGCCTTCCCTGCCACCTGCAGTGGCACAGGTTATCTCACCTGCTTTAGTTCTTGCCTTCTGTAAGAATGTTAGAATGAAATGTTCTTGGCTGCTGTTGTGTCCTGGTCACGGGCTGCAGGGGGACCTGCTGGGGCCATGCATGCAGGGAGCTGGGGATTAGCTTGTATAATGCTGGCACTTCAATAGAATCAGTGTTAGACATTAAACAAATACTAATGGTAGTATAAACTATTTCTTTGCAAATTAACCTCTTTAGGAAAAGTTGTCACCTATTTCTCTGCAAGTATGAGATCTTGGAGGGGTGCAAAGGTCTTGTTACTGGAAGGTCGTGCAGCTGTTTGGATTCCTGCATCCAGAGAGAGAAGATTCCAGGCAAGACTTGAAACAAAGCAAAAGTAATAGAATTGTAGTTTATTCGATTGGAAAGGCATTTTCAGAGGTGAAAGTGGTCAACTCAGAGAGGTTGAAGACTATGACCACTTGTACGTCAGTCCATGCTTTTCAAGCTCAGCAGGTTTTGCAGCATCAAGTCCCTCCCCAGGACCAGCCTACAGGGAGTGATTGACATGGCGGTTGTGAAAGAATCATGACCGGTATCAAAAATCACTGTGAATGTGATTGATTACCCATGACCACCCGGGAAGGACCCACAGGGGAGAAAATTTAAAAGTACAATATTATTATGATGGTGAGGACAAAAGGCAGCTGTCAGCCAAGTGGCCCACTTTCACTGGTTTAGACCAGAACTTGTTTTTCATTTGGACCAGGTGCAGGGGGACATGATGTCAAGTCAACTTTTCAGAACAAAGCTAATCTTACTGTTTATTTGTTTTTTGGTGGGACAGGGTTTGAACTCAGGGTTTTGCACTTACAAAACAGGCACTTTACCACTTGAGCCAGGCGTCCAGTCCTGCACGCTAATCTTGAGGAGGGTCTGGCTGCATTAGTCCTTCTTGCCCGTCCTTCCCAGGGGGCTGTACCCTCCCTAGTGATGTGGCTTTTGCCAACTGCTCCCAATTCCCTGCCCTTATCAAGGATTCACCTTACATTTTTGGAGTATTAGTAGATTAAAAAGCATTTCTGTCTTTGTACTGTTTTTTTTTCCTGTAAATTTTCTTCAAAGCTGTTGGAAAAAGTAAAGCTCACTGGTTTTCCCCCCTGTGGTACTGAGGATTGAACCCAGGACCTCGTGCCTGCTAGACAAACACTAAACCACTGGGCTATACCCCCAGCCCCAGAAAGCTTACTTTTAAAAAGCATGCCTGCATGCTTTCCCTGCATCTGGTGGCAGCTCTTCCACCAGTGTCCTGTCAGATGAGCGGGACGCTATCCTTGTCCTGCTTTGTCCTCTCCTGGGCATCATGTACTCAGTGGCCACCTTCTCCTGACTTCTTTTTGGCTCTGGGACACCCTTCTCCCAGGTCTTGGGTGTTACCTAGCCCTGCTGATGTAAGTACTGCATGTCAGTGAAGGTTTTCCTGCCACACTCAGAGAGCTTGGTGTGTCATGATATGGTGTGAAGTAAGCTACTCCGTCATGCTGATGAAGCTTACACTGAGTTACTTGTCAGATATTGTGGCTAGCCTGACAGGTTTTCTTCTTACAGTCCCACTGAACAGTTTGCCTGTGGTAGCGTTCAGGTCACACTGTCGTAGCAGATGACTTGCTGTAGGCCCTGTGAAGGAGACCAGCCCGTGGGCAGGTAGCCATGTACTGCTTGCTGTGTGTCTGGCAAGGTGAAAGTTAGAATGGATGATGTGTGTGGTCAGGGAGCCAGGGTCCTCAGGACCTGAGTTTTTAGGTTTCTGAACCAGGACCCACTGTGGTTTGGAGTAGTGACTGTCAGGAAGTGACTTCCTTCCACTGTCCAAGGACAGTCTTTTGTGGGGGAAGAAGTATGGCCACTTGGGTGGACCCTTTTGGGTCAGCCTAGGGGAGGGCTGGGGAGGAGCTCTGCAGTAGCCGCCCATGTGATGTGGGGTGAAGAGGGCTGTCTTCCACACAGGTGAGGATGGGGGAGGTCAAACAGGAAGTACAAACAGTTGCCGTAAGTGGTCACTCATTTTGAAGTTTAAAGTGCACGTGTATTCTTTGGCTTCCTGGTGGTGGAGGGCAGGTGGTGCATCGTATCTGTGTCCGTGGGTGGGTGAGGGGTCCTGCTGGATGCCCTTGCTCCTTTTCTTTGGTCACCTTCCTCTGCAGGTCCTCTGGGCCTGATTTGTTTGGACTTTGACCTGAGAGGTCTTAGAACTCTGATGACCTGGATGTTGGAAGTCTCAGCTTTGTTTCATGAGCCAGACGGTCAGCTGGCTCTTTTCACTTGCTGCCCTGTCTGCTGCCCTCTTGCTGCCTGTGCCTTGGGTGGAGCGGCCCTGAGCACTGGCCCTCACCACCTGAGGCCAGGATAGACAGCGGAGCAGCCAGGATAGCAGTGTTGTGGAGAGGCGTGTGTGTGCATGTATGTGTGCGCGTGCGCGCGCGCGAGTGTGTGAGAATGTGGTCTGAGTGCGTGTGTGTGTGTGTGTGTGTGTGTGTGTGTGTGTGTTTCAGGAGGCTTCCTGCAGTCTTGCCTGCGGGCCTTGGCCTGTGAAGTCCTTGTACGCTGCTGTCCTGCCCACTGTGGAGCTGGGCCAAAGCTGGGTCAGGATACCAGCCAGGGGTGAGGCCCACTTCTCCCACAGGGGCCCTCTAGTGCCCTGGGCTGCCTTCCTCCCTCTGCTGCAGCTCTGTCTCCAGATTCCTCTTCCAGGCCTGGGCCAGTCACCCTGCCTGGTCGCTGGTGTCCTGACTGGTTGTCCTTTAAGTGCATTCCAGTCTTTCTTAGATGAGTCTGGGCTGCCTGTCTCAGAGAACTACTTGCAACTTTTATTCTGCTTATCTACCCTTCCTGGCAGCTCCCAATGGCAATCCAGCCTTCCCTGGAGGGCCAGCCTTCCTGCTGGCCTGTTCCTTTAAAATGCCTCTCCTGGCCTCCAGCCTCTCTGAGTCCCTCCTTGGAGGCCTCTCCCAAGGCCTGTCTTTCCTGCCTCCTTCCCTGCCCTCTGCTGGCAGTTTTGCCCATCTCTGGGCTCAGGTCCCACTCTGGGGTGGGAGGTGACACTAGTAGGTGTCCTGCAGGACAGTGTCTGATGCAGGTGTGCCCCTGCCCTACACAGGGTGGACCTGGAAGCCAGAAGACATTTGGTGGAGCCTCCTGAGCCACTGTGTCACTTACAGAGCTCCACATTGAATTTTGTCTAGTTGTCCTTAAGGCTATTAATGAGACTGTGGTGTCAGACATGCTGGGATTTGTTTTTTTTCAAACGAAAATGACGGAGACTTCCTCCTGCCGGGAGTCACCCAGCTGGGCGGAGTAGGCTCTGGAGGTGGGAACCACGAGGCCTGACTCATTCTCTGCTTCCCTCAGCACCTATCTGGGTAGCTCCGAGCCTCCCCAAGACATCGGGCTGTGTCCTCCGTAGAAGATGCAGTGTTTCCTGAGTTTTGTCATGAGGCTTAATTAACTCATGTCTCTCTCTCTTTTCTTTCAGTCCGCAACTGTGTCTGATGGTGGTAAGTCCTAATTTCTGATACATATATATTTTTTTAATGAAGTTTTCAAATTGTGAAAATGTATTTGCCATTTGACCCACTCAAGAAAGATGTTTTCTTTGTCTTTCTCTGTCCCCTCGTGGGAGGGTCTCGGTCGGGGTTGGCTCGCGGAGAGCCTTCAGGGATCATGGCACATGTTTGATAGAAATGGTGACAGAGGGCAGTGTGCTGGCTGCAGTGCACACTGTTGCTTGCTATGTGCAACAAGTTAAAACATGCTTTGTGTTCCCTTGTACAACCAGCTTTTAAACCAGCAAGTTAAGATTTCAAAGCGCTTGCTGAATTTGAGCAATTCTGGAAGTTCCAGCGAGACTCAGTTGCTAATTTCCTTCTTAGGACAAGTGTGGTAGGTGACCTGAGGGTGTGGGATGAAAAGCAGTCAAAAACCTTCTCTCTGTCTTTAGGGAATTTCATGCATGGGGATTCTTTTAATGGGACTGAACCAAAAAGGAAATAGCTAGAAATGTCTTATTCCACTTAAGATTTCTCTGATGTAATTCTTGCCATTTTTTTTTTAAACTCCTTAAAGTATTTGGAGAATTTCATCCAAATATTCCTCATTTCTTGTAGTACTCTTGGTGTAAGTTACAGAGAAACTAAGTGTTGTTTTCTGGAAGCTTTCTCATGTCCTACAACTGCCACCCTCAATTCTTGGCTTAAGAAAGACTGCTGTCACCTGGCAGGCAGGTGGCAGATAGAGCCCTTGTGCAGAAGGAAGACTCTGCTGTGCTGCATGGGAATCAGGGATGAACGCATCTCGAATAACAGACATGCAGAGCCCAGCCCACAGGGATCCTGGTGCTCCGGTGTTGGAGATTGAAGAGTTTTGAACAGAAGGAATTCTGTTTCCTATGTTCTGGACTGCAGTGATCTGGGTCATTTGATCAGTCTTAATCTGGGAGTGGAAAAAGTGCCTTCATTCAAGAAAAGAAAGTAGACGTACAGCCAGACTCAGGCTAGAACTGCATGCTCATAGCTCTGCGCTCACGCCTGCTATCTGCGCTGTTCCAGCTTCTCTTTTCTGCTAGAGGACGTTCTGAACTTGAGAGAGTTTCATAAGATGTCACTTTAACCATATATGATATTCTTTACTGACCCTAAAGTTTCTCTGTTGGCAAGAGATGGGGGGGAAGGAAACCCAGGGAGTTTTGGTATGGCTATGCTTTCCAGTTCCCAGCTCCCAGGACTCTGACTCCACATACTCTCTGAGGAAGTGGTGACCTGGCCAGGTCCAGGTGATTCCCTGCCTTTGGGGACTTTCTGCCCCTCTGCCCACTCCATCTCAGGCCCTGGAGCCACTAGGGACAGGCACTGTTCCTCCATGGAGGGCCACTATGACAGGATATGGAAGACACTCTTTCAGGAGCAGGCCCTGGATTTTAGCAGCTGTGCCAGACAGCTATAAGTGCTTTCTTTAATCACTTTTTGTGCTTTTATTATTATTATTTTTTTTTTGCCTTCAGTTTCTTTTCTGATTCTAAGAGTAAAAAGAAGAAGCTATGTGGTTTAATACACATGTTAATTCTAGGAGGTGATGTCTGCCGTTGTTTCAGATAGGGACGAAGAGGCAGAGAGAGAAGTGGATCGTGGTTTCATAGATACCAGGCAGAGCCCCTTGCTCTGTCACCCAGCCCAGTTCCTATAGGCACCATCAGTGTTCCCTGGTGTGGCCATGGATTGGCTGTCCAGGTGTTTGGAGAGAGGGGCCAGGCGGAAACTCGGATGTGTTTCCATACAGAAATATTTTTATAGTCCTGGTCATTGGTTGATTTAGGCTTATACAGTGGCCTGAAAACCACAGCTCTGTCCTGCTTCTGTGGGAAAAGTGAGCTCAGAGCGCCAGTGGGGACTAGGAGCCAGCCTTGGAAAGCGGCCTGCTCACAGTTGGAACTGCCGTGCCTCCTCATCCAACCACTTGTGGGAATGAATAAATCCCTCACTCGGAAATATCTTGTGTTCAGCTAACCATGCCCACGCAATAGCGCGACTCGGAATGATTCTGTTCCTGACCACGATGACGCTTCGACCGTGTGTGCTCACCCTGTGGATGTGAGGCTTTGTTTTAAGGAAGTCGGGCAGTGTTCTGCTTGCAATCTTGGTCAGCAGCGTGGTTTTCACTTGCTCACAGGAGAGGCTGTGAAGCTGCCCTTCACACATAAGCAGAGACCCTGGGTCTGACTCAGAGGAGGAAGAACATTCTAACATTTAGAGGCTTCCAGAGATTTGTCTTGTGGGACATGGTCCACAGGAAGTGTGAAAGTAAGGGCCAGGAGTGTCTCAGTGCTGGAGCACTTGCCCAGCATGCCTGAGCCTCTGGGCTCCACCTCTGGCACCACGGGGTGGGGAGAGGGGAGAATAGAAATGCATAAAAGCGAGACTTTCCCATTGTTGATGCAAGAGAGAACCTCCCAACTCTTGGAATCTGGGCTTTTGGCACAGTGCTGCTGTTGTAATAAAGGCTTATACTGTTGTTGGATTTTTTTTTTGTTTTTGCTGTGTACAAGTAGCTTTGCCAGGTTTTCCCCTCCCACCCAACTCCTCCGTAGAGTGACAGTAGACTCATCATCAGACAAAGAGCACCACTTTATCACCTGTCTGAGCACCAGGCCGTGTGAGGCTCCTGGGGCCACACTAGTGACCCTGACAGAGCTTGAGTGGAGCTTGGGCTTCTGGGCAAAGGGTCATGGCCCCATTAGTGGAAGGATGTGGAGAGGGGTTCATGGCAAGCAAGGGTGGTCTTGTCATGCATGTGACAGCCACTTGTGGTCACCTGTCTGGGAAGTGTCAGACCTTTCCTTTCCCAGCTTTACCTCCTGTACAGATCTGCTGGCCCCAGGGTTTCCTAGTCCCAATATCCTCAAGTCAGATCCCTTTGCTCTGACCCCACCCTGTCAATTCAGTGGCCATCCATTAGCTTCTCCATATAGATCTTGGTCTTTGCTTCCCCTGTTCTGCACAATCCCCTCTCCACCACCTTCCCTAAGCACCTGCCCTCTGCAGTCTCTGCCCCAGGCAGTGCCATGACCTACTCAACACCAACCCAGGCCCTCTCTACCTGCCCAGGGTCACTAGGCACTGTGGCTCCACCCTGGTCTCCAGTGGTCCTTTGCCATGAAATGTCTTGCATTGGCCTTGTATAGCACTGTCCTGGATGCCAGCAAGTTCTTCCTGTCCTGTCCACCTGCCCCTTACCCTGAGTAGTGGCCTACCATTCATTCCTCCTAGCGCTCCTGACAGTGTCTTGTCAATTTCACGGTACCAAGCAGTCTCTATATCATCACTCTCGACTGCCCACTAGAGAACAACTTCCGTGAGGCAGGCAGGCTGTCCTCCGTGCTGACCACAGCAGCTGGCATGTGAACAGTTTGCTGGGTGAGGAACTGGATCTGGTCTTTGTGGACAGTGACTTTCAAAGGGTTTTTATTCTTAGCATTGAAATGCTCTAAAAAAAAAAAAATCATCAAATAAACTTGGTAGAATACCATCATGGAAAACCCAGATGCAGAAGTGTCTGGTTGAATGGAGTGATGAGGTGACTGCCCTGCGTCACCCCCGACCCCACCCCAGCTCCAAGCCTGCATGCCGGCACGTGCTCTGCCCTTCAGAGTCCCAGGGAGGGTGCCTACCTTCTGGGACTGGAGTAGGATAGCCAGAACTGGCAGTGTTTTCTTTTCAGAGCTCTTTCCTTGGCTCTTTTCCCTTTTGTACTTTTCTCACATACAGTACGGCATGAGAAGACGTCCTCTCCTTTGACCTGCTCTGCCCTGTGTGCAGGACAGGAGAGTCTGTGACCCTCTTCCCTGATTCCTACTTAGCCACATGGTGTCCCTTGCAGGCTTGCTAGTTGTGGTTCAGTCAATGACTCTGCTGCTACTGAGCGCAGGGTGACGTGCTGCTCCCCAGGCCCAGCCAGGGGCTCTGTCCCCAAGATTGGGACATACCTGATGAGGGCTCACACAGTGCACTGGGAGCAGCGGGTCCATCTCCCTCCAGGTTTTTGCCTCTTGCAGCCCTGGCTGGACACTCAGTGAGGTGTGGTGGTTGCAAGTCTACACTAGGTTTGTTGGAGCGTCCCCACTGTCTATCCAGGTGTGGCCTCCCTCCTCTTCCTAAGATCCAGCTCAGCTGCCTCCCTGTGTCTGCCTCTCCACTCTGTTTCCCAAGCACTTTACATGTTCTGTTAAGCCTTGGTTCTTAGAAGCAAGCCTTATTATCTTAACGGTTTTGGATCTGGAGGGCCCGCTCCTTAACGTCTATCCCCGTGCAACCCAGGAGAGCTGACCATTACCTTTGGTTGTCTGTGGAATGACCGAATCCTTTTGCTCCACCTGCCTCCACCCTCCTGGGTCCTCCTTGACCATTCAGTTCCACCAGGGTCCCCACAGAGCCCACGAGGGCAAGCCATCTCCCCTTTCTGTCTGGTGACTCCATCTTTGCTCTGGACCTGATGGGGCCTTCTCTGTGTGTTCCAGAGAGGGGCTGTGGAACAGACCATGGCATAGGCCTGGTGAGTTATCACATGAGGCTGTTGAGTGGGCTGCTATTGTTGCCAGAGTAATTTGGGGGAAATTAAAACTTCATTCATCTTTAAAATATAGAGTATTATAATCACTAATATTTTTGGCATGTGAATTTGCATACTACAAAATTAGGAAAGACAAGGAAATATAAAAAGCTTGAGAGCTGTACTGTGATATTTATGAAACATTATTTGGTACGCACTTTTAAAAATGTTTGCTACCTAGTAGAAATGGAATGATAGTTTGTAGCCTGCTGTGAGAGCAGTTGTTTTAACCAGCTACCTTTGTCTGGCTTAATATACCATATTCCTTATGGTTTGGGTTTGGACTTAATAATTATACCCGGAACAATATAGTCTATTGATAGGGTATGAAATACTATATTAGGGTTTGTACACGTGGGCTACACTGTAGATTTTGTGGGAAGCAAGCATGGAGACT